GCACATTGATATCAATATGTAAAAGTAACAATTTTATAGCACCATTTCAAAAGGCTTTAAGGATTAATTAACTCAATAATTTATATTAAATACTTAATAATATGTAGCCCAGTGTAGATTTCATAGGGTGTCCTACAGCGTGAAATGTAGAAGGCGTTGGCAGCTGCAAAGTAGCCGACACCGGAGTTTGAATCATTGGAGCGCACTTGTGTGCGTTCGTGTGTGTGTGTGGCGGGCTGTGTTTCGATGTGTGTGTGCGTGTTGCTCTAGTTGATTGTTTGCTGGGGGCGCGCCAGGTGTGTGGGCGTGCCAGCTGACGTGGCAGGAGCCCGGAGATCAAAAACCAAGCTGTCGGCGAAGCCAATTTAATTTGATGAAATTAAGATGGCGATAAAAATATGATAGTGGCAAGGGAGAAAGCCAAGGCGTTTCAACATTAATTTAATTCTAAAATCTTAAATCATTTTTGAATCTTAGCCAACAAATTTCTTGTTTGTGCAAACCAATATAATATATATATCCCTTCGAATATACACAAATCATTTTGAGGCTTTAGTCTACAATTTTGTTATCGAATAATATTTTAATCAATTATTCGTTGGTTTTCACAGTACAAGTAATCCATAATCTCAGACTACAATAAAACGTATTTCAAAAAGTTTTATATCCATCTCTTTCTGATTTACAATTATAAAATATCTAGAATATTTTCTCCTCACCACCAACTCTCTATCCGATTGCAATAATTCTTGTCCTTTGTCCGTGACATCAAATCAGAGTAAACCCTTGACAAATGCCACACCTACACAGAATTATGGGCTCGACTTACGTTCGGTCTGGTAATCAGCTCTTGAGCGACTTTGGCTGATGGACGACTTGGGGAGTGATGGGTCTTCTCCCGGTCCTGGTCCAGAATAAATTGACCCCAAAAATTGAGAAGGTCAGCCACAGAGATGGCTCATGAATTATTAAAGACAGAACAACAGCCAGTTGACCCTAATCCTCAAAACGGCTGCTGCCAATGATTGCAAAATGCTTAGTCAAATGGAACTAAATTTTCTGTGAGAAACTTCGTGCGGCCCACAAAATTTCGGCCAAAAGAAACCAAGCCACAAATTCAGCCAGAAAGATGTTTTGACAATTTCCAGGCGAGGGGAAAAGCTCCTTGACCAACTCCATTGAGTATTTCTAGGCTCTTCTGCAAGTAGCACTTTAAATTAATGAACTGAGATTAAGCAAGACAAATTGTTGTGGGGCTCTGGGCTTCGGAAAATTTTCTTTGGAGGCAAATTGTTTTTCGTTCTTGAAAATATATTAATTTGTATTTCGGGCTGCCTTCCCTTCCCTCCTTTTGCCACGCTTCAACCTCCAATAAATCTACAATTTATTGTTATTGATATTTGTGTAAACAATTTCCGCCGACCCTCTGCCGGCCAACAATTAAGAATTTAAGGGAGCAGAAAATTGAATGAATTTTCGAAGAAGAAAATCAGTTGACAACTTTGAAAAATTTATAGTACCTGCAGCAATCTATGCTAAAAATATGCAGCCACTTTCACTTCTTGCCCGGGGGGAAAACTCGAAATCTCATGTGGAAAATGCAGTCAATAAAATGGTTTCCCCATCTATCTGTGTTCCCTTTTGGTCGGTAGCCAAGAAAATATTCATTGAATTTGTTAGTAACAAACGACAAGTTGTCAGTCAGTCGCTGCAGTGGTAAAAACAGAGCCATTTCCAGGGAAAATTTATTGCCCTAGTGTCGGACAGGGAAACTCATCAGGCTAGAGTGAGACTGGCCGGGAATTATGCCATTAGATGTTTGATTTCCTTTTTCCCTTGTTTAGTTTGGTTTTGTTGGCCAGGCGAGCAGTGCAAATAAATAAGCAATTTCCGACGACAACTTGAACAAGCATAAAATGCAATGAAGCAACAATTTCTCCACCGGAGGAGGGAAAGCCGAAGGCAAGGACACTGCTGCAGCTTTGCAAAAAGCTCTCCAAAGTGCTTCTTAACTAAGCTTAAAAGCAGTGCCAACGGCCACAACAGCAACTTCGATTTGGTGTGGAAATTGCAGTTCACTCTTGGATTTCCCCCCGCTTTTCCCACCGAATCACTGCTTTTCCTTGACAACTTTTCAGCTGTTATTTGTTTTTATTGCTGTTATGGCTCATTGAAGTGTGACAAAGTCGCCATCGTTGCGGCTATTAGTTGGCTCCAAAGGTGGCCTGAAGGTTGTAGGAAGTGCAAGTAAGGACGCCTAGGACAATGCAGTTGAAGCTTGGTTTATACCGAGCTGGAGAAAAAAAGAGTGGTCGGATCAGCCGAATACAAATATTTATAAAATATATGTAAGCCTTTTAATTTCAATTAACCCTTAAAGGATTTAAATACTCCTTGTCAAGGCATTCCCTTTTTAAATACTTTTCCCGGCAACCTTAACTAAGAATTTCCCCTCCAAAAAACCTGCTCAGCTCTAACATCACTTCTAATACCTTAAGCTAATTCAATAAGAACCAAAACATTAGCAATAAGGCCATTTAGAAAAGCTCCAAAACACTACCAGACTCATCGCATAAACGAGGCTGGTTGGGATCCAGGAGAAGGACAATGAGCACGAGGGGAAAACATCGACTAAGCTCATTTGTGGCCGCAGTTCTCCGCAAGTGCCTGTCCAGGAAGCCACTAAAATCCTTGGCCAACCAAGCGCAACAAAGCCGCGACATCCTTTTCACCTGCTTGCGACTTCGATGGGCGAAAGTTCCACATTTCTCGGCACTGTCCTCATTTGTGGTTAATTCTGTCCCGCTGCCTGCGCTTATCCTTTGCCAACTGTCACAACTTGGCGACAGGAGAAGAGCAAAAAGTTGCAGTTCGAGCTTCATGGAGTCGCTTAAGGGTGCACTGGAAATAAAATAAGCTGAAAATATAAATTTATTATTCAGTGGTATTTTATGTTATCTTAATTTTACAGAAATGTTTTTTAAAGTTCATATAAATTATTAAATTTAATCTAAATTTAAACAGACTTGGTATTCTCATAAATAATTTTTCTAACCATTTGAAAAAGTTTAATATCAGGAAGACAAAAAATTTTTCTCTGTGTTGCAGCTACATTCCTTTTATCCAGAAACTAGTAAAGGGAGGAGATTCAAGAGCGCTCGGCAGTCCTGTCCCTGTTCTCCTCTTTATTCGCCTAATTTCCGTCGCTTTGCCCCGTTTTTCCCGATTTTCCCTTGCGCTAATTGGGGACACCGAAAATCTATAAACAGTCCTGGCAGTTCCGCAGTGCTTATCGCTGTCCTTGTACTTGGTCTTTCGGCTCTCAGTCTGAGTCCCTCTGCCCCGTTTAATGTGCGTCCTTAAGCACAATAAATCTGTTTATCTCCGGCAAATGTCCTGCGCTCCTCTCAAATCGGGAGTCCTTGTTGGCCTGCTTAAAAGTTAACCTGGTCGGCGATAAAAAGTTTCCCTTTTGCTGCTGTTTTGTGGTTTTCTCTCCGTTGTCCTCGGTCTGTTGGCAGTCAAAATTTGTTAGCTATTTGTGCGGCATTATCCTTGTAGGACGGAGTAGGAAAACGGACACAAATGGACACTGAAGAGCGAAGCCTCCACATGGTAGCATCAATCATCGGCGGGGAAATTAAATTGCACTTCGGCTTACCTCAGGCTGAGACTCGGTTACAGCAGCTAAACAAAAGATACGGGAAAGATAAGGTAGTTTTGGGTTGATTTCAGGGGAGACAACAGTAGGATTCCCTGTAGTGAACAATTTACCATTGCGAACATTTTATATACAAAATGTTGATTAAAATGATGCAATTCATAGAATAAATTATATTAACAACTTACATATTATTAATTACACATTTTTATTCTGTTCAAAAGAGCGAAATAGAGACAATTTTATTTTATAAAGATATTGATATATGGAATTGACAATTGTTTTACTTTAGAAAAACGTACGTATTTTAAGAATCATAAAGCTCACATATAGTTTAACTAAATTTTAACGTTATTTTAGCTTTAAAAAAAATGTAAAGCCTTGTTTTAAATGAATTTGAAGCCAGAATCAGCAAGTGTTTTTAGTCAAGTATTTTAATTTTTTTGGAATTCCGAATATCGCAACGAAAGTCAGGGTATTACCTCGACTGAAGCATTAGCAATGACAAAATCTAACAAAGGGGAGTAGGATCAAAAAGACAGGGACACGTGTTCCAAACGGAAGCCAAAGAAGTGCCTTGGCCGGTAGCCATTTTCCATGGGTTTACCTTTTCGGTCGGGAGAACAGCCAGCTGCCATTCGTTACCAAAAGAAGACTTTTGCAGGCTTTAAGACTGGCTGTCCTGAATTTAGCCCCTCCAAAATTCCGCACCCCATTCCCCGTTTTGCAGCAGCACTGCGGTCATTTGCGAAGCTCTCCTACATTCTCCACCACCTGTGCCATCAATTGCAACCGCAAAATGGCAAAACAATCAACAAGCAACGCGACGGGAGTTTGGCCCATACAAGATTCCGAGTGCCTAAACCAAGCCCCATCCTCCCAACCCACCCCCATTCCAAAATCCCCCCAACGGCACGCCTCTGCTAACCGCAACGTGTTGCGAGTGAGGTAACCGAAATTGTTTGTCCGAAACTGCAAGACAAAGGCTCCGACAGCGAGGAGAAAGGCGTGAGGATGCACTAAAAAAAAAGTTCTTTAATATTATCATTGACAACCATTTTTAAAATTTTATAGTTTCTAAAATTAATTGACATATAAATATTGTGATATATATATTAATATGTTATATAAATTTCCATCAATAAGAATTCATTGCTTTTATTTCATAAATTAAACAAATTATAGAATTTATAAGTCTTGCAAAAGCACAATATGTCTTTATTGTTGTTAAGAGTTCAATAAGAAAGCACGTGAAATCTAACTGACATTTTGCAAAATTGATCAGCTAAACTAAATGATTTGTTTCACAGAACCAATTAACCGACACTAATTTTGCAAGCCTCTTAGCATCAGCATCAATTTAATCTCAAAGCCACTTTCACAGTTCGAACAGTATGAGGGTTGAAAGCTTCTTTAACATACTAGGTGATTTTTTGTGAATTTATTTGTTACTTTCAAATAAAAAAATTGATTTTAGTCTACTTAGTAATCTCAATGCTTGCAGCGGTGGGTGCGCAGGCCACAAGCAAAAATGTGATGTGTAATCCAATGGCCTGTCCAAAAGTGGGACCTTAACTTTAATGGTGACAATATTAAAACTCTGAATAATAAAACAAATTATTGATCCACGAAGTGTTAATTTTATTTTTAACTTAATATTTAAAATCATCCTAATTTAAATAGGAATAAAATATGAGTTCAGTTTTTTTTAATGTCTTGGATTTCTTGCTTTGAAAACTGATTGTTTAGTTAGTTTGTTTTTGTTAGCATTTTAATTTCAATCTTTAATTTTAACAATAAAAGTAATATGTAAACATTTAGTGAGCTTTAATGTATGTATTATTATAAATATTTTTTTGAGTGAAGGGTCTTCATTGAAGGGGTTACATTTGGGCAATTTCTTGGATGGGTGGCAGTCGAAATTGGAAAGTTGGTCGGGTGAAATATGACTGACCATCACCCAAGGCAGCAGCAGGGACAAGTTACCTCATGTCGTAAAAGAATGCTTTAAGTATTAACGAGAATTGTACAATTTTGTGGTTCTTAGTGCTTCGCAGGTGTCCAACCTATTAGATATGAGCAACATTTAGTTACAGAATAACAGCATTATATTAATAATAATAAAACTACCATAGCTAAAACAATATTTAATTTTCAAAAATGGTAACCTTTAAATTTTAACAAGTGCTTGTCTTAAATATAAAAAACAAAAAAAGGTACAAACTTTGTTACGGTTGCCAAACGATTTCACATTAAACCATCTCATTACCTCCGCATTTGCAACAACCGAAATCCCGAAACCTATTTGTACACGGCAATCTAAGCAAATCGTTTTGTCGAGCTTAATTTGCAGTTTGCCACCGAGCCAGTGTGAGTGTCTAACCTGGATCCTGCCAAAGTCCTTCGCACTCGGCTCCTCCTGGCCATCAAGGCTAATCCCAACGGACTTGGCTGGAAAAGTTTCCGTTTGGCGCTTGCCACGGCGGAAGGCGCCAAGGAAATTCGGTCGAAGGGAGTTTCGCTTGATGAAGAAGTTGTTGTCGGCTGGCGATGGGATTCACACCACCTTCCCCGTTTATTTCTTTAGTGGGCGGAAGGGGAAGCAGCCAAGTGTTGTTCTGCATTGTGTTTTGGCCATTCGAGAATTCCCGGGGCCAACTCTCTTTGGGCCCGAGCGCAATTGACAATAGTTGTGCACAAACTTCGAAAAGGCCAGTTGCACTTGACTGCCGGCAGTGAATAAACAAGAGGTTCTGGGACCGGAAAAGCGTGGGCCGAGGAGCGAGGAAAATCCAAAGGAAAACAGCGCCAAGGAAAGCATTGGGTAATTGTAATTCCTGCTCTCAAATGCCAGCTAACCAGTTTGCCTTGTTGGGCAATTACTTCGGGAGCAGTACCTTTTCCTATCCCAGAAACTTTCGTAATGAGTGAACACATTCAATTCCCATTTACTTTTGCGACTGCCAAATGACTTTCTAAAGAGGCAATCTCAGCTGCCAGCGCCACAATTGATTTCTATAAATTTAATTGGCAGGTAATACACAGTGAGAAATATTATATTTCAAATTTTACCTTGCTTTCAAAAGTTTTTATTAATAAGGTTTACTTTTAACTTTTTTGAACTGTTAAAGGCTATCTTCGGATTATATGTTTGGTTATATTTAAGAAGTTTATAATATTAATTTTAATTAGCTGATCAATTAAAAATAATATATGGTTTCCTCTACATATTTATTTTTATTAAAAAATTAAAAAAGAATATAAATTAAAAGCGATTAATTATAATATCAATACTTTTAAACTTACTTACGATATTTATAAATATTTATTGGGCAAACTTTACTTTCGGTAGCGAACTTATAAAATAATAAACGCTCTACTCTTGTTTTGAAAATAGGGAGAATAACAGGTGTAAAGTAAGGGGGCTTGGGATAAGAGGACTTAGAGGTAGTTTGGTTACGCCCACGATGTCAGCTGTTGCCGCGGGAAAACTTCGAGCATCAAGTGCCAAACAAGTGGACAAGCAGCTGATGTTGACACCGCCCTTTTTCGGGTTGGCACAATTTCGACCAAAGTGGGTGGACATTTTAGAAGTCGAGTCCTGTAACGATAAATTGCATACAACAAAACAACAACGACAACAACGACAACAAAGACAACAACGTCGCGGAATAGTCGCCGCTAGGTGGCGACACTGTGCAGGCAATCAAACTCAACAATGGCAACACCTGGTATAGGTTTCCCAGGAACTTTTTCCGCACAAACCAAGGCAAATGGAGTAGCGAATTATGAATAGCTGGTGAGTGAGTCTGTTGCCATGAATATATGAGGCTAGGGGTATGATAAAAAAATGTACTCTAGTTAAAGATACAAAAGAGTTTGTTATAAAATTTAAATTTACAAAAATGCCTAAAATGTATTAAATACTTTATCTCCATTTGATTTATGTTTTTGTTATTAATTACCCTTCTGCAGATAATCTTGACTTACTAAAACAATAAAGTAAAAGCTTTCCTTAAGCTGTCAAAATATGATTAGAAAAAAACACAAGTACACAGTTTTTTCCATTTAGTAACTCGTCACTTTTCTAGCACAAAATTCGAACACTAAACCCCCCAAATACATTCGAAATTATTGTATTTACATCGCGGTTTAGCGCGCCAGATTGAACAGCGCTCTACCCCGAAAACAGGCCTAAATCAAAAAGCATACAATTGAAAGAGTTAAACAAAGTAAGGCATTTATGACCCTTTTTTTAAATCCCTCGGCTGTTCATGGGTGGCGCAAATGTTTACTAAAATTCTAACTGATAAAATGGACAAGAAGAAGTCGCATCACCATCATAATCAGCAGACGCCAACCAAATCCCTTAATGCTATTAGGATGGGTGGCCAGGAGAAATCGCTTTTAAATGTGGGCGGTGCTAACCCCATAACCGAATCTACAAGGAAGAGTTCCTTAACCAATTACCAAGGAAATTTCCACTCGAACAAGCCACCAATTGTGGGGGATTATGAACATGCGCGTGTGAATCGGTATCATAATGTCAAGCAAACAGTTATGCCTACTGTAACTCAGCCCTCAGTCTCTGGGCTTCATTATCAGCAACAGCAACAGGCACAGCAGGTCCTCACTCAAAAGGCGACCAAAAGCACTGTAGAACTCACGGAAAAGCTGGCCAAAATCAATCGTCGCAATGCCATTAAGGAACTATCTGCCTTGCAGGCAAAGAATCTCCAAGCCATCGACAAGAACGAGGAGGCCCTGAAGGAATTGCAGGAGAGCATTCCGGAAATAAGCCAAATCTTCGATGTGCATTGCCGCATCGGCAGTGGAACGTTCAGTTCGGTTCTATTGGGAACCCTGCAGCGAGAACGCTGTCTTGTCGAAACCCAGAGGCGAAGATTTGCCATCAAACATCACAATCCCACAAATCATCCGGAGCGAATTCTCAGGGAACTGGAGTGCATGTTTCGCATTGGCGGGGTGGACAATGTCATCGGCATTAATTGTTGCATCAGATCCAACGAAAATGTGGCCTTTGTGATGCCCTATATGACACACGATCGGTTTCATGACATCTTCAGGAGTCTGAGTCTCCAGGAGGTTCGGGATTATCTGAGGAACTTGCTTGTCGCCCTGCGACATGTGCATAAGTTCAATGTGATTCACCGCGATGTGAAGCCGAGTAACATTCTATACAATCGCCGAACAGGAAAGTTTCTGCTCTGCGATTTCGGTTTGGCTCAAAGGATCGCCGACGATGGTAGTGTTATGCAGTCAAATGAACTCAGTTCCCCGGAGGCATTCAGTTTTCTGAGGGACATGGAGAGTGGCAGGAAGCTAATGCTGCCAGATGGTAACTCTGCCCAGGCCGAGGCCGAGGATTATATGGCCAGTCGCAAGATGCGAGCCTTGGGTGGCGGTGGGGGTGTGGATCATGCCCTACCATCAGGAACCCCGAATATCCACAGACTGCGAGAGCAAGCCTGTGGGCACTTGACCAAAAAGGATGTGGCCAACCAAAAGGCCGACACGATGAGGTTGCTCAATCGCCTGCGACTTGTAGGATCCAATATGGATCCCAACAACTATGTGGTTTCCACGAACACGACGAAGAAGGAAATGCATGCCTCTCGGGCCGGCACTCCAGGATATAGACCGCCAGAAGTCCTGCTCCGATATCCTCATCAATCCACGGCAGTGGATGTCTGGGCCGCGGGCGTTATAATGCTCTCGTTGCTCTCGGCGGTGCATCCCTTTTTCAAGGCCCCCAATGATTGTGCAGCCCTGGCGGAAATAATCAATTTGTTCGGTGATATACCAGTCCGAAAGACAGCCTTCATGCTGGATCGACTGATTATGCTGGCGCAGAAGGTGAACACCTTGGATCTGCGGCGGGTGTGCATGAGGTTTCGGTATGCGGAATTTTTCCTGGCCCCCGAAACATTTCGGAAATATCGGAGACCCGATGGCAGCACCGAGATGTGCCGCAGTTGCGAGCAGCCCACGTTTAATTGCCTGTGCCACAACAGTGGACACCACTTGGAAATGTACGATGGCCTGGATGAGTTTCCCGCCAACGCCTACGATCTGCTGTCCCGTCTGCTGGAAGTGAATCCCCAGAAACGCATCACCGCCGAGGAAGCCTTAAAGCATCCGTTTTTTAACGATCAATATCGCATTACGCCAGGAGTGCCTTTGCATCAGCAGCAGCACATGTTGCAGCATCAGCACAAGTTAAGGGCCAGGGAAACACTTCCATCGGCTGCAGCCAGAACCCTGAAGGCATTCGTGTCCTATTCCACGGAACTGCCTACCACAGCCTCTCAGGTAGCGGGTAATATCTGATTTCAGGCCCCCGATATTTGTTGTATTTAGACATTTTCCCTGGCTTCCTTGCGTTTCAACTTAAGTCCTGGCCGCCAGAAGAGAAGACCTTTACCTCAGCCAGTTGTGGACAACGAAAATTGAATTGTGCAGAAACCAAAAAAAAAAAATTAATAATATGGACGTTGCAAAATGTTCACGAAATTTACATTGAGAATATAAAGTATATTCATGTTTTTGTTGATTTTAAATTAATCAAGGTATCTACATATTTTGAGGTATCTTTCTTTTTCAATTATTTT